TTTTGATACTGTCTCTGTTCCCATATTGTTGCATAAAATGGAGAAGCTTGGTATAAGGGGTGTACCGTTGCAGCTTTTCAGAGATTATCTTACAGATAGAACACAGTTGGTAAAAATTGATAAACATGTTAGTGATGAGCCATCCCATCTGCAATGGTGTTCCAGGAAGTATTCTTAGCCCTACCTTATTTCTTCTTTACATTAATGACCTCTTCAAACTGAAACTAGTGAATGGAAAAATAGTTACGATTGCTGACGACACAGTACTGCTATTTACTGGTGATTCATGGCCAAATGTGTTTAACTTCGCTCAGATTGGCTTAAACAGAGTGTCCAAATGGCTACGCGATAATGATTTAACCCTCGACGTGGATAAAAGAAAGTACTTGTCGTTCTCCAAAAATAATAATAAATATGCAACCTGCACAGACCATGTTATTATTGCTCATTCTTGCAATTTTCCTTATCATCTGACGTGTTCATGCACACCTTTGCAAAAAGTGAATTCAATTAAATACCTTGGTATTTTGTTGGATGATAAGCTAACTTTTCATGAGCATATTTATTCACTTTCAAATAGGATACCGAAAATAACATATCTTAAAGAAACTTCGTTGCGTAGCAGATTAAAACACTATTAAATCTGTCTATTTTGCTCTATGCCAATCTTTAATAATATATTGTATTACGTGCTGGGGTAGGGCTACCAAATCATCTCTTCTGCCCCTCGAAAGATCACAAAGGTTAATCTTAAAAGTAAGTAACTCTCTTCCATTTAAATTTCCAACCAGTCAGCTTTATAAAATTTCCAAAGTTCTTACAGTCCGGCAACTGTTTATTATATACACAGTACTAAAAAACATGCACAATTAAAATATGACCAAAAAAATACATAGCACACGAGACGCAAATACCGAGTGTGTACCTCTTATTAATATCATTGTACCTACTTTTCTAGGAGATGTTTTTACTATCTTGGCGGATACCTGTATAATAAAGTTAACAAGGAACTTAATATTCCCGCCCTACCTAAAATAAAAGCTAAAAAATGTATCCATGAATGGTTACTGAAGACGGACTATAAATATACGGAAGATCTTTTTACATCACATGTGTAAATGTTGTAATTGTCGCATTCACACAGCACACTCACACACGCACACGCACACGCACACGCACACGCACACGCACACGCACACGCACACGCACACGCACACGCACACGCACACGCACACGCACACGCACACGCACACGCACACGCACACGCACACGCACACGCACACGCACACGCACACGCACACGCACACGCACACGCACACGCACACGCACACGCACACGCACACGCACACGCACACGCACACGTACAAGCACACGCACACGCACACGCACACGCACACGCACACGCACACGCACACGCACACGCACACGCACACGCACACGCACACGCACACGCACACGCACACGCACACGCACACGCGCACACGCGCACACGCGCGCACGCGCACACGCACAAGCACACACACACACACACACACACACACACACACACACACACACGTAACGTATCATTATTGTAAAAATATGTATTCCAAGATAACATACTTTTGTATTTGTTTAACTGGGAGGGACACCTGATGACCTTGAATACAGGTTCGTCGCCTAGTTTAGGCATCAGTCTCTCACATTAATTAATTTGTGCCTTTTTTGTCAAAAATCGATATATTTAATTTAATGTGGAGAGAAAAATAAATTATTATTATTATTATTATTTTCTTTTTATCACATCTGGTTGGACTGGATAAATATATAAAAGGAAAAATAAATATACTTAAATATATATTTAATATAATAACATAAATAAATAAATAATACATAAATAAATAAAATACAATAGGGCAATATCTATATTACCGTCACTATCTAACACACACACACACAGGGCAGGGGAGACCAAACGGCCGAGGGTTAGGGGGAAAGGGAAAGAAACCGGTGGGCGATGCGGGCGGTATCGAGGAGCACCGCCTTCTGCATTTGAGCCCGGAGCGGTCCTTCACGGAGTCCCAGTCGCCTCAGATGGCCCTAAAAGCTGGCTGGGATTAACCCGTTTGCCGACACGACTAAAGGAATAATTTCGGTCGGCAGACCACCCCACATGTCGGTCACCTCCTGAGCCAGGTCCAGATATTTTGATTGCTTATCTGTTTCGGCTTTCGCGAGGTTCTCGTCATACAGAATGGAAATGTCGACCAAAAAATTCCTAGACTGTGCCCGATCCATCAGCAAAATAGGCTTATTTGCCAAAATAGTCCAGTCTGTGATGATGGCCCGGTCCCAGTAGAGCCTGGTGCGGTCATTTTCGAGCACGGCTTCCGGCAAGTACTTGTAATACGGCAATTTCCGGTCCACGAGACCGTATTTCAGAGCGAGCTCCTGGTGTAGAATTCTGGCTATTAGGTTGTGCCTGTGCAAGTACTCAGAGTGAGAAAGCGCAGAACAACCGGAGATGACATGATTAAGTGACTCACCGGGATGGCGACAAGCTCGACAAATGTCGATGGTGCCATCCTTTATGATGTATCTCCGATAGTTGTTGGTCTTAATAACCTGATCCTGTATTGCACAGGCAAACCCTCCGTTTCGCGAAGAGGTCACCGAAACGTAGCCAGTTGAGGGAGGCGACTGTATCTACGAAGGGCTCATGTAGAGCCCTGTAGTACCTCCCGTGGAGCTCCTTCTCCTGCCATCCGGTCTCCCGGTCGGAAATGCTAAGCACTGCTGGGTCCTGCCATTGCTCGTTGGCTAAGGATAGAGGGGTAAGCCCTTTATCACTAGAAATGACGTCATTATAGAATGGATCATCCGATCTCGCCAGGAAGTAATCACGGAGGGTGCACACTTTATTATTATTATTATGTGGGGTATCAATATAGTTTTCTCATCTGGTTGGGTTCTATAAATATATAATTATAAATGAAAATGAAAAGATAAATATACATAAATATCAATAACATAAAATAAATATAAAAATACATAAATAAATAAAAGCCCAACCAGATGGAGGCCCTCGGCAGGGGAGACCTAACGGCTCAGGGTTAGGGGGAAAGGGAAAGAAACCGACGGACGATGCGGGCGGTATCGAGGAGCACCGCCTTCTGCATTTGAGCCTGGAGTGGTCCGCCACGTAGTCCCAGCCGCCTCAGATGACCTGAGAGGCTGACTGAGATTAGCCCGTTTGCAGAGACGACTACAGGAATAATTTCGGTCGGCAGACCACCCCACATGTCGGTCACCTCGTGAGCCAGGTCCAGATATTTTGTTCGCTTATCTGTTTCGGCTTTCACGAGGTTCTCGTCACACGGAATGGTAATGTCGACCAAAAATATCCTTGAATGTGCCTGGTCCATCAGCACAATATCAGGCTTATTCGCGAGAATAGTCCTGTCTGTGATGATGGTCCGGTCCCAATAGAGCCTGGCGCGATCATTTTCGAGCACGGCTTCCGGCAAGTACTTGTAATACGGCAATTTCAGATCCACGAGACCGTATTTCAGAGCGAGCTCCTGGTGTAGAATTCTGGCTACTAGGTTGTGCCTGTGCAAGTACTCAGAGTTAGAAAGCGCCGAACAACCGGAGATGACATGCCTAAGTGACTCCCTGGAATGGCGACAAGCTCGACAGACGTCTTCGGTGCCATCCTTTAGGATGTATCTCCGATAGTTGTTGGTCTTAATAACCTGATTCTGTATTGCACAGGCAAAACCCTCCGTTTCGCGAGGAGGTCACCGAAACGTAGCCAGTTGAGGGAGGTGACTGTATCTACAAAGGGCTCCTGTAGAGCCCTGTAGTACCTCCCGTGGAACTCATTCTCCTTCCATACGGTCTCCAGGTCGGAAATGCTAAGCACTGCTGAGTCCTGCCATTGCTCGTTGGCTAAGAATAGAGGGGGTAAGCCCTTTATCACTAGAAATGACGTCATTATAAAATGGATCATCCGATCTCGCCAGGAAGTAATGACGGAGGCTGCACACTTCACGATTATGCATGGTAAGCGCGCTCAGAAAGCCACGCCCACCATGCTTTCGCGGCAAGTACAGCCTCATTACCGACGATCTCGGATGGATCGATAGGATGCATCCTATGGGACGTCACGGTAGTGTGGACTTTTCTATCCAGGCCGTTAAGTTCAGTCTGAGTCCACCTGAGTATGCCAAAGGTATACATAAGGACAGGCATGACCCAACCGTTATATGCGTGTGTCTTATTCACACCGGACAAAAGGCTATTAAGCACTTTGGTCAAGCGTGCATAAAACACGTCGCAAACTGACTGTTTCATACCAGCCTCATCGATACTGTTCGATGTTCTGTGACATACCCAGGTATCGGTATGTTTCAGCCTCGGAAAGGGTCCTTAAGTTGACGGACATAGACAAATCTATGCCCTCAGAGTTAGCAACCCTTCCCCTTTCAACATGGAGGACCGGTACTGAGAGGATTCAGGGAGAGGCAGAACCAGATTGGACTCAGAAAATCGCCCTGGAAGATACCCCTTCTTTTACTTATGTGGTTCTCCGCAGCCATCATCCGCTCACCCAGATGACAAAGGATCGTATTCCACTGCCCCATACACTGCTCGAAGAAGTCTCTCACTGTACAGTCTATCTTGTACAACATCGAGGACACTCTTTAGCCATGTATGGGGCACCGAGTCGAATGCCTTTCTGTAGTCTATCCAGGCGGCGGAGAAGTTCGCGTTTCACCACTTTGCCAATGACCGCGTCAATGAGGAGTGGTTCCTTAGTTCCACGACCACCGCCCCGAAATCCATTTTGAGCGCGTGACATCACCTGATTTAGCTCCAAGTGACGAGTGATTCTCGCGCTCAAAATGGATGTCAGTGTCTTATATATGGTGGGTAGACACGTAATGGGGCGGTATTTGCTCGGGTCTGTGGTAACCTGGTCTTTAGGAGCCAAATGAGTGATCCCAGTAGTGAAGAGGCTAGGGGAGCGACTTCTGGTTGAGAGCCTCTTGAAACTGACGGGCGAGCACAGCGTGACACACCATGAACCCCTTCAGCCAGTAGTGATGCAGTGCGTCAAGTCCCGGACTTTTCCAGTTCGGGGCTCTATGGACCGCCTCAGCTACGTCATCCGGCGTTATGATGACGGGGTCCATGGGCGTAATACTCGCACACTGACTCGCCACAACTTCCGTCCAAGGGCCCTCGCAGTGGTTTACGGGCTCTGACCACAGGCCACGCCAAAATGCGACAGTGTTAGCCTGATCCGGTCCTGGGCCCGCCCCACATACCTCTGGTCGCTCCAATGATTTGTAGAGCCTCTTCTGATCACTCTGGAAGTTATTATTATTATTATTTAGACGCACTGGTTGTGCAATCTTGTTTTGAAGGTTTGACATGTGCCTGACGAGATGTATCGTAATCTCCAGAACGCTGCCGAGCCGAGTTGAATCCGTCATTTGACCTCTCAGTCGAATTGATTTACTAAATATATATAAAATAAACCCTATAAAAGCGTTAACATTTATAATAATAGAATACAAGCATATTATAATTTTAGAACGAATACGCTGCAAAAAAGGAGTCACAGAATTAGCCAGCTATGTTTTAAAAATCAGTAGTAACTTTTGTTTTGTAAAAAAATCATTTATTAATTCATAACTTTTAATATAATGAAACTGAGGTCATGTGTTACACGTGCACTTTTTTGGTTTTTAACCAATGAGAAAAAAATTATTGTTACGGTAAAATGACACTAAATTACTTGAATTTTTTTTATACTCGTATTTCAACTTGTAATTTTAATTTGTAAAGTTAATTTTATTTTGACATTACTATAATATGATTACTATTTTTAGTTTGATTTTATTGTGAATTAATTTTGAGTTTAGATTTGAATTTAGTTTTGATATAATTTGATTTTATGTAATGTTCTCAATTACTAACCTAAGCTAAGTCACGCTAACAACTTATGGATCTTTGACTGTAATAAATTACTGTAATAAATATGATCTGTAATAAAGTATTATTATTTATTATATTATTATTATTTACATACCAACAAACACACTATCACATTTATAACATGGCTTGTTATCAATGTGTAACTTTCATAAGTTAATTATATAACAGATGGGGCGTATTAAATTAATTCAGAACAAAGCAGATATTTAACTATTATATTAGTAAACATGATTGTGTTTTCAAGTGTGGTGCCATTTATTATTTTATATTTATTAAAATGCGTAAACTGTGTGATAGAAAATCGCTCTCCAAGCTCAGCTTGGGAACAGAAGTTACGTGATGATTTACTTTCTCATTATAATAAACTTCTGCCGCCTGATGCCAACAATTCACAAGTTGCTTTGAAGTTCATGCTTAAGTCATTCTACTTTGATGACAATGAAGAAATTATTACCTTAGACTCCAGGATTTTTCTTTTCTGGAATGATTCAAGGCTTACATGGAATCCAGAAAATTATGATGGTATTACAGAAGTGCTTTTTTCAAGATTTATCATTTGGATTCCATTTCTAGATATTTATAGCATGACTGGTGGTCATTCCGTTAAATTTTCTATGGAGGACATATCAACAACTTTATGTCGAGTAATGAACAATGGACAAGTAATAAGCATGCCAAGCCTACTTTACCAAACAACTTGTAGTTCAAAAATGAGAGACTGGCCCTACGACACTATGAATTGCACATTGAAAATAAGTTCAAGATCAACACCTCGGGCCTCGTTGTCGTTCGATTCATCAAATGCTAATAGTATGCTAGGTGCTGAATATGGTCCAGGTTGGAATATAATAAATATAACAAGTGGCAAAATTCCAAAATCTGCAGGAGACTTATACCTCAATTTCATCTTCGAGCGACATGGCGTTGAACTTGCTGTAGTTATCTTAGTACCTTCACTTGTGTTATCAATTTTGACACTTTTGTGTATGGTACTTGATGTAAATGGTAAAATTCGTTTAGGTCTTTTATGTTTTAGTTTACTAAATCATTTTTTTTATTTGCAAAAAATTAACAGTTTTATACCTAGAAAAATGACAGACATTCCAATGGTTTTGATTTACTTACGTACTTCAATAATTTTGACACTATTAGCCATGGGAATTACTTACCATTTGTGTTATCTTCGTAGAAAAACAAGCCCGGCTCCTAATTTCATTGCAATATTTAATAAAAACATTACTGAACGGTACGGAAAATATTTGATTTGGCCTAGATGGAATGTTGGTGGAGACGACTGTGATAATGACAATATCGAAATTAAAGAAGTTTGGACTGATTTTGCTAGGATTATTAATTTTAGTTTTATGATCATTATGACAATAGTTTATACTTCTTCTTTTTATGATTTAATACCTCAACAGGTACCTGATTATATTGTTGAATAAGCTTATTGTTTCATTGGATTTAAAATTAAATTTAAATATCTAGGAAAAATAACGTATGTTTCGTTTCTTTATTACCTGATGTTCGTCACAATACGTTATGTGCACTGCTACAAATAAGTTCATCTCATATTTATAGGAATTATTAAATCAACAAATTTGCAAGACGGTGGGATACCTTTTCTGCCTACGATTCGGCACGATGCCCTGGCCAAGCAGTGTTTCTGATGCTAAGCAGTGGTTCAACCACTGCTGTATTGCTGCGCTCCTGTTTAAAGGGTATGAGAGGCAGTATAATAACTGGTTGTGAGGCATTCTTTGTCTTTAGGGTTGAACGGTAAAGGGTTTTTAGCCATCTTTTTTATGTTAGTTTCCTAATAAAAAATAATTCTTTATAGTCATTACATCATATGTCTGGATGGATAATAGTTTCTCTTTCATTGCCACCACTACACAAGTAACTAAGCAACTGTCTGTCATATTAGTTGCTTAGTTACTTCTACATTTTACCATTTTATATAGTTTTAAAGCTTTTATATAACTTACTATGTTTGTATGTTTGTTCGGATCAACTTTTGCTATTGAATTTTAATGCAGTAATCCTCAACTGATTGAGCTAAAATTTTAATAAAATTACTTGTATATGTATTAATTTCACATCATAATATTCGTTGGAAATACCATAAACTCGTCATACCTCAATATTAAACGATATAATTATAAATCAAAACGAAATTAAATTATATTCGTCATGAAATTCATATATATATATGCCATATATTTTTGTCTGCGCCTAACGATTTATTTAACATTATGTCAAGTGTAATTTTTTTATACCCTACCTCAACAACCTTTAATCTAGTAGAACATTTGACCCGCTAATTTTAGACCTATTTCTGTACTACCAACTCTCAGTAAAGTTTTTGAAAAGAATTTTAGACAAATTGTGGATTTTTTAATAAAAATAAATTACTCCATAAAAATCAATTTGGTTTCACAAGGGGTCGCTTGATGACTGACGTAGGTGTCGAGCTTATGAAATATATATTTAATGCCTGGGAGAGTTCACCAGATGCCTTAGGTATTTTTTGTGATCTTCCTAAGGCTTTCGATTATGTTCATTATATGATATTAATCAGGAAACTACAACATTACAGAGTCAAAAATATTGCGCTTAGACTTAATAGTTCATATTTAAATAACAGAACTCAAAATTCGTTATCTATGGTAAAGGTTTCAGTGGATTTTCGGATCAGTGGTATCAATAGGCGTTGATCAGGGCTAGATTCATGGCCCATTCCTGTTCTCAGTCTATATTAATGACTTACCTTATCTTGTAGGGAACAATCACGATATAGTATTATTAGCCTTATGTGAGACTTACTTAAGTAAGAGACAACAATGTGTGGAAATATCTAAAATTAATAAAGACAATAAAGTGTTATACAGAAGTGACAATCAGCCAAATGACTTTGGAGTGCCACAAGGCAGTGTATTGATACCATACTAATTCCTCATGTATATTAATGATCTCCCTAATATCACTCGCCATAACAAAATCTTATTTGCTGATGACATAACCCTTATCGTGAAATGTGAAAATGCCATAAATATAAAATAGAGATAAATAATGCAATTAAAACATAATCGACTGGTTTATTGTAATAATTTACATATTAATATGGAAAAAACTAAAATGATCTAATTTCAGACATGTAAAAGAAAATTATTGAATATTAATGTTAAATATAGTGATAAGATCATCGAACAAGTAGCAAGTACTAAATTTCTGGGTATAATGTTGGATCAAAATTGCGACTGGAAAACACATGTCGATTACGTTTGTAACAAACTCGGCAGATTTGTCTATCTTTTTTTGGTTTTTTTTTTGTCAATGTTTTGGGTGTGGTTGCCTTGCCGAGTATGAAAAGAACTCTTACGTAAATGCTATAAAGGTATATGTTTAAAAAAAGTTGATACAATGGTTAAAAGAAAAATTTTACGACCTAAATGAATTTATGTCTTTTTGTGAAAAATAAATCTGACGTCAGTAATATAGATATATAACTAATAATTTATGAACAACCTGAAAGTGTGGACATTAAAAATTGAGAAAAATTATTACATAATGTAAAATTTTAAACTCTATTACTTAAAGGACGTTAAAATATTGACATAAATTAATCTAGCCTTTAATAATCATAAATGTACGAAATTAATTTCCCACTTGTTGTTAAAAAGTTTTTTGCATATATGCCCATAAAATATTTGCAGACCATATAAAATGGTAGAATGTAAATGGACCATTAGAAATAATTTAAGATCATACTTTATTATACACATACATTCTGGCAAATGAATGAATTTGAATTTGCCGATGATACCTCTCTAATGTGAATAACAATGTAAATAATGCTCTATCGAAATTAGTACTTTGGTCTAAAGCTAATAATTTGATCTTAAACGGCAATAAGATAAAATGTATTAAATTTACAATACTTAATGTTAAACATTCAAATACCAATGTGCTCTAAATGGAGAAGAGTTGAGTATTGTGGATATCACTGTTTTTCTAGGTATTACCATTGACGCGAAGTTTCGATGGGGCCCGCATATAACCAAATTAGCAGGCAGACTTAGTTCTGCAGCATATGCTGTAAGAAAGATTAGAAGTCCACACAATCTTGAGACAGATTAGTTTATTTAATTACTTTCATAACTTAATATCTTAATTATGAAATCTTACTATGAGGTAATGCGAAATGGAAATTGTTTTGCAAAAGAGAGCTGTATGGGCGGATTCTAACTTAAATTGTAGAGTTACTAAGAGAAAAATTTAAAGATATAAACATATGAACTTTGGCATCGTCCGAAAAATCGCTGGTGGTAAACTATTCCACAGAGAGGTTGTACGCGGAAGAAAACTCCTCTTGAAACGTACAGTGGTGGACCGCCAAGCATCCAGATGGTGTGGTGGGGGTAGTATCGGGACGTTGGCCGCGTTGTGCGTTCACGAAATTTGGCGGCTGGGATTAATCCGAACAATTCCTCAGAGCACTCCCCATGGTATATGCAAAAGAAAATGCAAAATCGCGGGTAGCTTGGTCGGCTGTCAAGTGCTTGTGTCCCGTATTAAAAATTATTTTAAATATAAAACAGCATTTTTACATAAGTAAACAAGTATATTGAAGAACAATTTTAGTAGTGTTATAAGATACATTAGTAGAATAAAGTGAAAACAGTGGTCGTTGGTTGTTACAGTGCAAAATAGTGATCAGCTGTTCGTAACAAGATCAGTTGTTTGTCATTTAAACCGTATTGCAAATTGCTGCTGTAAACATTTAAGTTATTTAACAAACCTTAAATAGTTAAATGTGAACAAGGTAAATAGTATATAGTAAATCGCTAATTATTAAACATTCTTATAATTATACATATCAAATTACATAATTAATACAAACTTCGTACAGCGACATCTATTGGTCTAACTTTCATCTAAATAAAGTACTTGTCAATAAAAATGGCAAATAAGTGCGGCGCCTGTGGTCGTTTTGCTTCTACAATTGACTCGATAAAGTGCGCAAGTTGCACTCATTTATTTCATCGCAAATGTGCTAGTATTCCTATTGACGGCCGAATATCAAATAAATGGCAATGCAGCGGTTGTAAGGCAAAAAATGTATGTGCGAGTGGGGTGAACACAATTGCTACGCCCAGTTCGTGTAGCTCGGGCGGCACGGACACAGAGTTCGGCGATGCACAGCTTGGATCCGACGATGGAGGGCGCTGTGAAACTAATGTCGACTTAGCAAACGAGCTAAAATTAATACGCGAGCAGTTGACTACTATTGCCCGCGAAATGGTATCTTTTCGCCAGGAAATCACTAACATTAATTCTAATGTTAGTGAGATAAGTAACAGGGTTAGCGACGTCGAGAAAAGGATCGCATGTCTTGAGCAGCAGGCAACGGACTTGCCGAATCAACCCGGAGGGTCCAAGGTCGAAGATAGCATAGCGGAGTTAAAGTGTCGACTTAACGAGCGTGATCAAGAATTACTTTTAAACGATCTGGAAATATCTGGTGTAATAGAACAGAAGGGCGAAAACCCCGTGCACCTCGTCACTATGCTTGCGGCTAAAATTGGCACTGAATTGGATGAGCGCGATGTTGTAAGTGCAAGGCGTATAGGCATGCGCCGCGAGGAAATACCAGGCAGCGGTGACAAGCGGAGGCCGCGTCCGTTAGTTGTCCGTCTCGCTCGTCGAGTGATTCGAGACAAACTAATTCACGAAGCGCGCGTTCGGCGAGGGGCGGATACTGCCGGTTTGAACTTAGGTGGCGAGCCGCACCGATTTTATGTTAATGAGCGGCTCACCTCAATCAATAGGCAATTATTTTATAAAGCACGGGAAGAAGGGCGCCGCAAAGGCTGGAGATATGTGTGGACGCGGGAAGGATGCATTTTTGCGCGTCGTG